AGCTCCCGCGCAGGCCGGGAGCTCGCGCGCACGGCGCCGGGTGATCGCAGACCAGGACCTAGATCATTTCTAATCATAATTTACAATAAAGAGCTAATTCTACTTCTATTATTTGTTTGCACAAGCACAGATAATTAGCTTTAGAGTTTAATAAACATATATAATATTTTAATAGTTTAATGTGTTTTCTATATAAAAAACAGAGTTTAATATAAGTGTATATGTTAAAACCCTTTTTCAAACCTAATTTGATAATACATCAGCAAAATTTCCTATGTGCACATATAACAAAAAGAAAACACTTATTCATCACATCATGATTTGTTTTTTAATGTCAATAACTCAGATAAATCTCATGACTTTGCTATGAAATAAATATACCTTAAAATCATCACATTCAAAATATCTGGTTAGCAAACATGAAGAGACAATAAATGACAATTAAACTTGCATCCTAGATTCTCCATTAAGTCTTAGATGGCTCCTCCTTTATACAGAATGAGATCGCACTGACAAGCCAAATAACAGACAAGGAAATGTGTGAGCCTAGTGGATACTAAAGGATTCATAATTTATAATCAGGTGGAGGCCTGAGCACGTGGAAATATGAACTAGCATGTTTCCTAGGAATGGAAAGTAATTCACTACAGAGACAACATGAACAGACAGGAGACTGGGACACCAGAACCGAGAGTTAATGAGTTGAGAAAAAGAAAATAGGTACAACATTAATGAAAAGAATTTATTTACCTTGCTGTGTGGACAGAGAAGTATTACCTCCAAAGCCATGTGTTGTTTAGAGTCTAAAACTTGTAGTGAAATATCTGGCTCTTGACTATCTGCTGTAAGATATCCTTTAAGATTTTAAAATATTTTGCATAAGAATATTTTTGTATGATTCTGAAGTCCTGGGCTGTGCTACACCAATTTGAACAGGTGAATGTAAATTAATAATAAAATGAATATGAACTTCACTGGGAAGTGAGAATGCAGGTTAACTAAGGTGAGTCTGGCACAATTCAGTTCCTGATTCAGTCCCAGTAAAATTTTGAACAAGGCTTGGACAGACTTCGTTTGGTGACCATTTGTATAAGTTTTTTCATAATGCTAGAAATATTGTGAATTTAACAGGTTATTCTAAGGCCTGGGAGTTTTCTGTGTAAATTATTGATCTTGAAAATTGTTTTGTGCATTCTGAACACATTATAGAATCTCAATTATTCTTTTACATAATTAATGGTAGTTATTCACAAAGAGAAGAAAAAAATTTTAAAGGATGTTGAGAAGGTGAGGGCTTGGAAATATTGGAAATATGCTTTATACATTGTATCATGTATTAATGAAATAAACACTTAATTCTTTGTGCGAAAAACAAAAAAGAAAAAAATAGACATTTTTTCCAATGGGAGAATTTCTAAGGCTTTTATGCTATTATAAAAATGGAAAACAAAACAAGCTATTGTATATAAAAACACTAGGAAACTTACAGAAATAATAGTACAAAAATCATCAAATATGTGACTTTTAGATGTTATTGTTTTGCCTGATAAATTTAAATATGAATGATTTAACCACTTGTCACTTTAGTGACAAACTTTTATTCATTTTTTTTCGAGTCTCATTGATTCTTTTCTTCTGAATTACTGCACCTAAATTACTTTTGCTCAATAAAGTCATGATGCTATTTCCACGTTTGTGCGCATTTTTTCCTATTTACATCTATGGTTTTTCACTCAAACTACAAAAACTTTAAATAAAAATGAAAGGAAAGGTATGAAGAATAGATTTGTGTTAAAGTAGCATTTTTCAACTTGTAATCTTATTAGTAGACTTTATCTCTTATCCTATCATTGTTTCAAAATTAAGAAAATAACTTTCTTAGTAGCTACAAATTTCTATTTTTTTCTTTTCAAACACATTTCAATATATTTTATTATAATGGATTAATGAAGGAAGGGAAGTATTCTCCTGTGCCACATATGCCTTCTTAGTGATACAGCTAAATAAAGTGCTAAAAGTAGATTTTGTCTGATGACTAGCATGCATTTATATTTGTAAAGCAAAGGTATACATATGAAGAATTTGCACGCAGAACCAACCATCCATGTAAAGGTACTTCAAGAGCATAGTCTTCTTGCCAAAGAGGAAGGTTTCAGGAGGAACCAATCATCCGAATCTCTTCATCTTGAATTTTCAGCCTACAGATCTATGTGAACTAAATTCATGTTGCTTAACCCAATGCAATGTGACTCTTTTTATGTTAGCCTTAGAAAAATAATAAAAGCATTCAATATTTAAAGTAACATTATGATTAATGTCTTATTAAAACTACTAAGAAAATCCTAATAAAAATCTCATATTAAAAGTAAAGAAATGATACAGCATATATAATATATAAAAACACAAAAGGAAAATAATGTAACCTCACACTTTAGATGCCTGGAAACTACTCCAAATTTTAATATGAGAGTGGAGGACCCAGTGTGATTTTTAGAGGAAAAGAATGACTTGGGAAATTAGGAGATATTTTGTGATTATGGGTTGAACAAGAAATATAAACAAAAATATCATAACATATTAAAAATAAGCACTATGCTTTAGAACCAGGGATAGAGTTAAAGCAACACACACATGAAAATAAAGCATAACTTATATTTCCTATAACAATGCGAGAATAATTGCATAGGAAAACCAGATAAAGAAGAATATTGGCCACAGGTAATATGATAAAAATTAAATTATCATAAAAAAATTTAAAAAGACTAAAAAACATATTAATATGTATATATATATTTATTTAATATGAGTTTAGTCCTGGGAGTATATTTCACTGGTAGGACACATGAGGACTGAGGTTCAATACTTAGCACCACAAAACTAATACAGGAATAAATAATAAAGTTTTGGTTTTGGAGAAAAATTATAACAAATAAATTGATAGTTAATTGCATTTTGGTAGAAGGAAATTAGAATATAAGCTATATCTTTGGAATATATTTGTAAAATATTTGAAAAATCTAGATATTAAATTTGTTGCCAAATAGAAGGGTAATCTAAAGAGACTGATTTGAGTAAAACAAACGAAAAAAAAAAGTTACTGCAAAATAGTGCCTGTGAAGCAGTTGCACTGGGCAATGCTTACCTGCTTTTCTGAGTCCATGGAGACAGAACACCTGCACAGAAAAGGAAATGCAGACCTGGAAGAAAGGACTCTCGTATCTGAACAAAGTGAAGCACACAGAGAAAAACAAAACAAAACATGAACACTCAGTAAAATTGTGAGAAACGTGGAAAATATGCTTAGTGATTCTTATATGTATTTGGAATTTCATGGAGAGAGAAACAATGTAGCAGAAGCAATATTTAAAGATGTAACGCCTAAGTATTTCACAAAATAATTTGAAGTCAACGACTGAGTGGAATAAATTCTGCAAAACTCAAGGATACTAAATTAAAAACTATCAGGAGCAATATGGTAAGAATGCATGCAATAAATGAATATAATAAGAAATATTTAAAGGGGAACCTGAGATAAAAGAAAGATTCTCATCAAAGCATGAGTAATGAAATAGAATTTGACTTTTGTATAAGAAATAATGATTTCAATATAATTCACCCAAATGCCTCTGGAAACACAACTAGAGTTGAAAAAGCTACTTTAATCTGTCTTTTCCATGAACTCGAAAACCCGTCATGGGAAAATGTAGGACATTATACTAAAGTATATTGGAAAGGTCTCAGTCTAAGACTGGTTGGATGATACTAAGGACAGTCCCAAGAAGCAGGCCCTCACTCTGGATTCGATGCAGCTAGGAAGAAAAGACAGGTCCATAATTGAATATTAGCAAGTCTTATCTAGGAAGAGGACAGACTAGTGCAGGAACAAAAGAACTGGTGAAAACGGACAGCCACTCATTTTAGCCAAGAGAGAATTTTCTCTGGTATTTTTTGAATTGCATGGTGACTTTGGTTTGGTCTCTGGTTAGATATGATTATGAGATGATCCTATTTGTCTCGTTTCACCATGCTGCAGAGGTCCTTTCCTGATGTTGATGTTCTGTGTGGTGTGCACGACCAGCAGGAAAACACGATGGCCAAGCAGTTTCCCATCCCAGCCAAATTCTCAGCACAGTAACGCCTTGTTGTGAGTACAGATGAGTTCCTATTTGTCATATTGCTTTTCAATTCACATTAGAACCTGTCATATCACTGGATAGTACCTTAAAAGCATGGGAAAACAAAGCTGAGAATTCAGCATTGGAGACTCAGTGAACATATCTTTCAGCATGAAGCTACCTGAAAATACTCTGCAATATACAAAAACCTGGAAACTTGTCTCCACCAGATTTCTCTTGCAATAACTTAAAAAGGACATCCTTCAAGCAGGAGAAATGTACACAAAACCCAATGAGGGGCAAAGGAAAGAAATGTGTATAAAGTAAGAGATAAACAAAGATAATTTAAATATTGACTTTATAAAATAAGAACATTAATGTCTTATAGCTTATATGCATGTAATTAAATATAGTATAAAAAAGAATGTAGTACAAGTAAAATATTATTTGATTTGCTTTCTGGTTATGATGGTAGATACGACATTAAACACAGGACATATTGAATTTTCCAATTAAAATATATTTATACACGCATCATGAATATACCTCTTTCAAAATCAACATGATGGGAAACATATATATGTATATATAAATCATTATCCTAGGAAGTTGGTTTCATTATACTAAAATAATATTAAATAAATATTCTTAAAAGCAAAAAGTATGATTAGGGCTAAAGAAGGAAATTTCATGATTATCAATCAATCTACTGTGGAAATTTAACAGTATTATATCCATAGGCACATAACATAGCCTCAAAATTTACTTATAAACCTGGATGGATTTAAAGGAAGCTAATGTGAAAACAGTGTAAAAACAGGTAAAAATCAGATACTATACAGAAAATTGGAATCCTATTAAGAATTGTAAACAAGCCAACAATGTACTTAGTGCACATAGTATAGCAGAATACACCTCTTCACCTGCATACTGAGCAGTTAATAAAATTTTATGCTGAACATAAAGTAAGCTCATAAAGTAAGCTTCAGCAATGTTTAAAACTTTAAAATTGTAATAAGTATAACCTTTTACTTATTGTAGAGATAAGATGGTCGTCAAGTATAACACCCTAACTTTAAACATTCCCCAAATATTTAGTAATTACCAGCGTAAAGTATAAAACTTGCACTAAACAAGGAGCCACAGAAGTTAATAAATGTATTTAAAAGAAACATAAAATAAAATATACAGAAGAATGGGAAATTCACTTAAAGTTTTGTATTGGAGAACATTTTTACATTTTATTGTTTATTATATAAGAAGAAAAAAATCAATGATCGGAGCATCTTACTTAAAGAAAAAAATTTAAAGAAAATAACAGGTAAATAATAAAACAAAAAATATATTCTAGTTATAATTAAATCAAAAGCTGATTCCTTGAAAAGACTAATTCTAATTTTAAAAAAGCTGGAAAAACAGATCAATAGGACCCACAACTAATTATAACTCCTCTTCCCTGTTAAGTAATATAGGAAGTAATTTATTAATACCAATATTAAAAAAGAGGATTTCACTATAGGATTTATGATCACCAAAATAATAATAAGAAGGATATGAACACATTTATGCTAGAAATAACTGAAATGGGGGATACAGAAGTCCTAGATTGATTAAGGTAAATACTCACTAAAACTATGATGACAGAAGCAATGTGCATGACTATATTAGCCAGCTTCCCATCTATGAAACAAAATAAGTGGCATAGAGAATTTGAAGGCATACTTTACTTCAGATTACAGAGGAGTCGCGTCATGAGCAGCTGGCTTAAAAGCAGAAATGTGAGACAAGGGCAGGGCAGAGAAAAGCTACCCACTTCATGAAGGCCTAGAATCAAAGAAATAAAAATCCAGCGAAGAAGGGTCCAAATATCAGATCCACTTCTCAAGTTCATCCCATGCCCTATCCAAACCTGCCCAGAAATGGGCTTTACGCAGCACCAAACTTTCTTTGGAACCAATTCAATTAATGATTGCAATTATCCATCACAATGACAAGACCATATTATTCATATTGGAAATAGAGAGTAAATTTGACACTCATATGTCAGGGATTGTAATACCATATTAACAGAAGAAAAATAAGAGAAGACAGAAAATAACTATTTCATAAGGTAATCATATTATCATTATAAAATTTCTTATCTTTCTAGAAAAAAGCTTTCTACTATAAAGACCAATAAGAAATGTTATAATACAGACTTTATTAAATGGGGACAATTTAAATATTTTCTCATGAGATTGAAAATAATTTCTCGATCCCTCAAATTACCAATATATTTCTATTTAACCTTGCCCTGCAGATCGCAGTTAATATAATAAAAAATGACTAATACAAAAATCATCAAAGAGAAAGAAGTAGAATGAATTATACAGATATACATGTGAAATATTTTAAAAATCTATAGGTAATGGGAATGGGATGTGGGTTTAGCTCAGTGGTTTCACCCCTTTCCTCACAAGCACAAGGTCCCAAGTTAGATCTACAGTAGAAAAAAAAATCTATAGGTAAGTGATTTGTATGTATAAAGGAATTTTGAGAACACATCGAATACTAGTAATATAAAAATCACTTGCATTTCTAAATGTAAGTAACAGTTATTAAAGAAAAAAGACCTACTATTTGCAATAACCTGAAGAATATCTTATTTATAGAAATAAGTCAAATGGTAGATTTTCAAAACTATAGCAAAAATAAAACCAACAGTTCCACCTCACAAAATCAGAGTATACATTCTTTTGGGATGCACATGTGTCATTCTCCAAAATAGACCACATACTAACTCATAGAACATATTTAAATAAATGAAAAGAAAATGAAGTCATCCCATGTATATTATCAGATCGTGGGTAAATTAAACTGGAGACCCAATTAAAAAATGGACATCTGAGCTGAACAGATATTTCTTACACAAAGAAGTAACAGAAGAAAATAAACACATATAAAAACTGTTCAATATCACTGGTCATTTGAGGGATGCAGATGAAAGCAACACTGAGATTCCACCTCACCCCACAAAAAATGGCTGTTATAATGAAATCAACAGATATCAAATGCTGGTGGAGTTGTGGGGAGAAAGGAACCCTTCATGATTGTTGGTGGGAGTGCAGAATGCTGCAACCACGGTAGAAATCAATATGGAGACACCTCAAACAACTAGGATTAGAAGTCCCATTTGACTCAGCTATTCCACTGCTGGGTATCTTCCTGAAATAATTAAAAGAATCATACGATAGTGATATATGGTCACCCATGTTTATAGTGGTACAGTTTGTAATAGCTAAACCTTGGAAACAGCCCAATTGCTCATCAACTGGAGACTGGATAAAGGAGATGTGTGTTTTATATATATATAAAATGTAGTACTATGCAGCCATAAATAACTAGAAACTAGAGATATTTATAGCTAAGTGGATGCACATTGAAGCCATACTCTTAATTGAAATTAATAAGTCACATGTGTAAATACTGAATAGTTTCTCTGCTGTGAAAGACTAAACATATAAATAAGGATCAAAATGTATAATTGATATTGTGTAATTGGAAGAAAAGATCTAAACATGTAGAGTAAGTGGGAGGGGTAGGGGAAATGTAAAAAGGAAAAGAAAAATATTTAAAAAGGTAAAACATGGAAACAAGTCTTTGTAAACCAGGACAGATGGAGGGGGTGAAGGGAGGCCTAGGGAATGCGGGAACATAAGGACCAAAAGAAGTCTTGAAATGGTACAAGATCCAATTGTAAAAATAAACTTAATAAAGATAAAAAACAGTGAAAGAGACCAACAATGCAAAGATATTCAGTGTTTATTTTTGAGGATGAACTATTCTAAAATTGGTGGTAATTATCTATTAATTTTTCTTTTATCAAAATTTTTTTCTTTTTTTAAAGTGTAAGGTGACATGTACAAGATCTTTTCTAAGCATCTGTACATTGTGGAATGGTTAAACTATCTAACAAACAAACACATTTTGTGTCTGAGTGTATACCACTTTTGTATCCATGTATTCATTCACTTATGTAAAAATCATGTTGATTCCATATCTTGATGATTGTGAAAAAATCTGCTATTAACATAGCAGTACAGGTATTTCTTCATCAGAATGATGTCAGGTTTTTTGCCGATATATGTGTGTGTGTGTGTGTGTGTGTGTGTGTGTGTGTACCATATATATGATATATAGCATATATATTATATTATATATACATATATCAGTAGCACTGATTATACCACTGGGAAATAGAGATATATGTGTATATGTATGTGTGTGTATCAGTGGTGCCATTATATATATTATACATATCATTGAGACATATATATAGTAAATTGTTCAATCATATAGGTCTATTTTTAACTAATTTTTCTCTTCTTTTGTTTTGTTTTTTGATAATGGAGATCAAACTCGGGACCTCATGCTTTCAAGACAGGAGTGACACCTCTGAACTAAGTCCCCAGCCCCCTAACTAATTTTATAGGTATATTTTAGATATACACAATGACAACTTTTATCATACGGAATTTCTACCTTTACATGCTATGTCTTAATTCTTTTTACCAGTTCCGTTCCTTCCCTTCAACTCTTTATCCTCTCCTTATTTACAAAAGTTTTGTTTCCATTTTTTGCATCTAGTCTCTTTTTGTGCTTTTCTTTTCCTTCCTTTCACTCTTCCTTCCTCCCTTGTTTGCCTTCCGATTTGAATCCGGTCTTCCTATTTCACAATATATTATAATTATATATTGTAGTAATTATAATTATAAATGTATACTTTGGTCTTTATTTACACTTTCTGTTTTTCATACCTGAGATACCGTGTGATATTTGAATGTGTGTTTCCAGTGTATTTCACTTAGGAGTGTTGTCTCAAGGTAGATATATTTGTCTAGAAATGTCCCAAATTATCCTTCTTTAGGACTCAGTAGTACTCTATTGTGTAAAAAAAAATCATATCTTCTTTATCCATTCATCTGGTTGATTGGCGTTTTGTCTGTTTCCAAGATTTGAATGCTATATATTTTGCAGCTATAAACATCAGTTTACATATATCACTTAAATGTGATGCATTTTATTCTTTCAGTAAGATAATGAGAAGGGCTATAGCTAGGTCAAATGGAACCTCTACTTTTAGTTTTTTGAGGAATCTCCACACTGATTTCCACAGTGGTTGCACCAATCTAAAATCCTAGCAACAGTAGAGATGGATTCCTTTATCCCCCATAGCCCAATCAGTATTAGTTATTGGTTGATTTGTTAATAACAATCATTCTTTCTGTATTAAGATGGATTTTCACTGTTGTTTTAATTTGCATGTCTGAAATGATGCTGTTCATTTTTTCACATGCTTATTTGGCATTTCTGTTTCTTCATCTGAGGTATGTCTATTGATTTCAGATACCCATTTGGGGGCTGCATCTTTAAATTCAAGGGGTTACGGTTGTTTTTTTAAGTTCTTTACATATTCTAGTTAAGAGAAGCAGCATCAGAGTGAGACTCTCTAAGGCTCAAATAATAATTCTAGCTTGTGCTGATTAAATGAAGTTCATTTGATTATTTAGTCTATCAATGGAAACTATATTATTACATATGGAATAGCCTCAAACAATCTGAGAGTAATGTGTGGTCCTGTAGCAGTATTTCATGACACAAGAAATAATAACAGGTGTGTTTATATTATAAATATACCAAACTGCAATTTTATAAGATGTCTACATTTCTATAATCAAAGCTTATTTAAAATAAAAAATAATAATTTCATTATAAGAAGCTCATAGATTCTCAATAGGCTTACTAGAATGAACTCTGGTGCCGAGCATCTCTATATAATTCAGCTGAGACTTGAAAATGAAAAGGAGAATTTAATTGGTTGCTTATAATTTGGACTATGTCATTTGCAATTCCAATTTCCCACAGGTTTGAAGAAGGGCTAATATGATCGACAGCATGAATAGAACCTTTTTACTATTGTATGAAAAATCAGTTCTTGAAGGAATCTAGGGTGGTAATGTTATCAATAATAAATATTAAACACACTGAATAAATAAGAATATAGGTCTATAATCCCAAATAATCACCAATGTAAAACTTTAACCTCAATTATTTTTGGATTTACTCTATACTATTAAATTATAAAGAGGTGCTTGTGGTTTATGGTGACAAAGAAACACAAAGGTAAATGAAAGGTAAACTGGGGGGTTACTTAAAAATAGAAAGGTCAGTGTAGTACAAGGCTTATATATATGCATGTCAACTCTCTTTCTGGATGACACATCACAGACCACTGTGGAAATATTACTAAGGGGAAGAACAATTTTCCTAACATTATATATAATTGCATAGGAAATTTACAGGATGCATTAAATGGTTTCCTGAGTAAGAGATTATATAAAAATTACATTTCACAGACGTGGACCTGATAATCTGAATTTACATTCAGGTTAACGTCTCAATTCATATGCCAAAGTGATTCTGTGAATCTACAAATTTGATAGATGAACAAAGCATTATTTTCTAGGGAAAACCAAGTTTATTGCTACTTAGACATGCTTGTGTTCCTTGAAGTTATATTGGTTATATTATCAACTCGCAATGCATGTCAAATGGTAACAATTACTACAACACTGTAAGTGGAAAAATCAATAAGCTTTCTTGTCACTATTTATTGTATACTGTCATGGGTGTACCATTACAAAGTTCCTTTATGAATAATTATCTGTGACATTCAACTATCTCTAATCTCTCTTTTCAAGCTTTTCCCACAATTTTGGAAACACATTTTATACATTATTATTTAGTCATAAACATATTTTATGCACTGTATACTTCATTTTATTATTAAAATACCTTATTTAAAATATACTATATATTTTATATTATTTCTCATATGTGATCCTAAAAATTTGGACAGTTTTTGCTTTTTTTCAAATAGCTTGAGCTTTCATTCATGCTTCAATTACTTTTAAGTATTTTGCATTTTTTAATATTTTAAAAACATTTTTCATAAGGAAAATACATGACAAAGTTGTGGCTTTCAAAATTTTGGTTTGCTTAAAAACTTCAAAGCACATAAGCAATATTTATATTTTATTTCAAATTCATCTGTTTTATAAATTCTGAGATACCTTTTATAACTTCTGTCACAACAAATATAATCACCATAATAACAATACTAATAAAATATTAATTAACATTTATATTGACATTTACTCTTTCAGGAGCTATTCTATGGCTTTGTTTTTATCAACATCTGATAACTTTTCAAAATATTTACTTACACATACTATTCCTACAATTTAGAAGATTAAGGAGCTAAGAACTAGAACTCTGAAAATTAAGTAAATGTGCCAAAATTCTCTTAATTGGGACATGTTACACCCAGAATTTGACTCAGGAGGCCTGACTCAGATGCCTCCTCTCTTACTTAACACAGATTACCTCCTTATCTTCACTAGAACAACCTTTCTGCTAAAGAAGGTTAGATAAGGATTAAGGGATCATAGAAGGAAGAGGAATCAGTAAAAGGGAATGTGTGGTCCAAAGACACGGGAACTGTGACAGGTAAATGAACACACTGGATGGAATTAACAGAGTCAATGAAATGAACGATTAGACAGGAAAATTATTCCAAGGAGGAGTTCGTTGACTATAATCTTTCAATTTGAACGTGTTCTTTGCTGGTCCCATTTTCAATAGTATTATAAAAATAAAAGAAGTGCAAGGAAGATAGCTACTTCTTCAAATCGTGACTAGGGGGAGTCCTATATTTTAGTAGGAACAGGACAAATAGAGTTAACAAAAACTGGGACAAAGAAAACACAAATTCAAGGAGGTGATGTGCTTGACTACACGAAGGGAAAGAGTTTCCCAGGGGATAAAATAGGAAGAACATAAAGCAAAGAAAAAGAGAAAATAGCCTGGGGCAGACAATAAAGCTTGTGTCTCTTTGTAGAACACAGAGAAGAGGAAAGAGAGAAATTAGGAAGTGATGTGAATTAAAGATAGTGAAGAAGTGGAAAAAAGTTTATATCTGTAATTCTAAAAGATAAAGAAAGGTTGATAATATACTTGAAGATCCAAATGAAAGTGTATTTCAATAGTGCAAAAATAAATTCATAAGTAATTTGTTTTAAAAATGTGAAATAATTGTACCACCTAATTTAACTTTCATTAGAATGATCTACATACCATGTTACAATACATGCTTGTAGATAAGTGAAGGCAAGGTAATTTTAGACAGGCACCCTCGGCATGTCATGTGAGGAACACTATACAATAAAATTAATTTTGATGCTGGAGATTTAGCTCAGTGGTTCTGCTGCCTGCTTTGCAAGCGCAACGTCCCAAGTTCAATCCCTGCACCCCCCCCAAGAACACTAAAGCTTCATTTTGAAACATTCTAATTATGGAAAATGTATATGATCCAAAATTTATCACTGTTTCATGTTCAATTCACTGTCATTAATTTCTTAATGTCATCCTCACCTGTCCAATTTCATAACTTTTTTCTTGTAAATTGTAATTCTTGGAAGCTACTAAGTTTAATTTTTAAAAATATACACAACCATACATTTCTAAAATTTAAATATTTTTAACTAAACTACACAAACATTTTTAACTAGGATAGATTTATTTAATAGCATTTTTTTCTTTTCTCTCATATAAACAAAACTGATTTATTTCAGATTTTGAAAATAAATACATATTTCATGAAGAATTTTATGTAAGAAGCAGATACTAAACATGTAGAATGAGAAAAAAGTCATACTTTTTAATATTTACAGTATACATATGAAAATCTGAAGAATTATGCTAAAACTGATGCTAAAGTATATCAGTACCTGCCTAAAAATATTTAAACATTCCTCTACATATTGTCAAATTTCTTGGAATCATTAAAACACAAGTGAAGTTGTGGCACCATTTGTACCTAGAAGTTTCCTAAGAATATTAAAGAAAATATAATAGACTTTGAATTAATTATGAATGCTTTGATAATTTTCTGTGTGCATGAGGCCTTTTCTATCATAAAAAGTATCTTTCCCAGCTGACTGATTTGGTGAAGTTCAGTCAAAAGCTGGAATGCTTATATATACCTTTACATTTTTGCCTAAATTTCTCCAATGTTGTCCTTCTGAAATTTATTACCTAATAATTTTATATTTTAATAATTACCATCTATAAATTCAACTGTTGGAGCAGACTTTTTTTCCCAGGATAGCCAACATTATTTTTAAGAAACAAAAAGTTGTAAGAGTCATACTTCCTGATTTCCAAAATTATTACAAAAAACCACTAGTGAAGACAATATAGTATTAGCATAATGGACTTAGAGGTGAATGAAATAAGTCCATACATAAACACATACAATTATGGCCAAATGGTTTACCCCTATTTTTTATTGTGGCAAAATGTACGCAACATAAAATTTACCATTTTAAGCATTGGGATGTATAATCTCAAGGTAT